AACCCCAAATTGGCAGAGGTCTATTTATTTTTGCCTATTATTAACCTAGAAAATAGCAAGGAGCAGGAACACATTACAAAGGCACAGATATAATCATTATACACACTACGAAAGCCACAACTGGCAAGCAGGGTGATTACATGCATTTTGAAAGCATGTGAATTTTCTCTGTTCTCCATGTAAGTTTTCTAAACAGCCCTAACCGTATTTTCTAAATTTACATTATCTGAAATATATGACTATAAAGGTTGTCAAACATGTGCAAAATTTTTGGAGTTACTGTGCTGAATAATCTTGAGGAGCAACTGATGGAATATGAAACACCTAAAATTGTGCACATCACCTCTGAGGGTTTCTGTCAGGCCATTTCCATAGAATATTAACTACGGTGGGAGAGATGCCCTAAATGATGTCAACAACATCCCATAACCTTGGGGCACATGTCGAACAAAAGGGGAAAATGGACAAAGCAGACTAAACTTCTCATATTCACATTCTCTCCATCTCTCTCTTTTCCCCTCCTTCCCCCCTCCCCACTAAGCCTTGCCACTGTGATACAAGGTGTTGTGTCTTGTCATGGACATGCCCCACTCACTCTACCATGAGGAAGTGGTGGGTTAAAATAAATATGCCCTCCCTTCAGGCTACTTTATTCTGGTATTTTGTCCCAGTGATCAAAGACTAAGAGAAGTACTGTGGACATCTGGCCAGCCTACAGGAACGTCAGTCATCAGTACCTTGACACACTTGCTTTCTCTGTGTATGTTTTCTGAAGTCTCTGGAAGTAAATTGATGAATCCCTAAACTACCAGCATTCATACTGAAAGACAAAGCAAAATTTCCTACTAGACTATAACAAGACTTTCATGTAGAAGAAAATTTGCAATTCCACACCACCTAATACCTATGTCATAATCAAATTTTCTCAAGTGTCAAGAGAATAAAAGTCTTTTAAACTGAGTTTTTAACATGTCGGTAAAATCAAAATTCATATACTGCATTTGCCTTTTAGGATCCCTACTTCTTTCCTCACAATACTGACTTGTAAAAAATAAATACAAGCCAATAATCTCATAGACTGTCAAGCATTCCCTGTATTTGTAGCCTTTCATCTCTTAGTTCGATTCACATTAAACATTTCATAGTTTCATGCTTTATACTTCACACTTTTATCAAATTAGGAGACATAGAGGGTCAACTTGTCTCATTACTGGTGATGCGCACATTGACCAATGATTTAAGGCAGCATCTGTCACAGAGCCTCATTGTGAAGATCCACAGTGTCATTTATAATTAGTAGCCTGAGGCAATACACTAAAATGATAAGAATATCTTGTCTCTCGATTTGATCATTTAATCAGCGCTCAAAAACAAGGCAGTGCAGTTACACGCTAATGACTTGGCTACCACTTCCACATTCATTAGCTGCTGTTCTTCTATAATAGCTGCTCTGTCTTTACCAGCTCCTCCATGAATCTCTGCTTCATCAATGTGCTCTTAGCAAACATTCCTGTGCGGGTTTCCCAAACATCATGGGTGTCATTCTTATCAAGCAAATCCTGTTCTTTATGGTATAATTTACCCACAGCTCACCTTGTCTTTCCAAACCCCAGATCTGGAAAGGCCACTTTTCTAAGCCACTCTGGTCCCTTTGAAAAGGGAATAGTATTTCAAAACAAAGAACTGGGCACTAGGTATACTCACATTTGACGGGGGAGGGAGAGAACCATTCCAAGGATGGAAAAGATGTTTTTGTTTTATTTGGTATAGTGAATTCATAGACACCCCCTTTGTTGTTGCTGTTTTTATTCTTTGGACTCTTTATTCTTTGGGGGGCCAAGCACCCAGCTCCCAAATAAATTACACACATGGAGGCTTATTATTACTTATACGTGCCCAACCTTAGCATGGCTTGTCTTTCTTGCTTTCCAGGGCCATTGCATAAGGATGACAACTTAGCTGAAAAAGCTCCTTTCTCTGCGTGGTCCTATTACCAAGTTGACAATCATGCACCTGCTTTTTGGCTGTTCTGTTTTAGGGTTCTTGAGATTTGCTTATTTTTTATTTTATTTTTGGATTTGTACAATTAGCGTTGATTGGAAGTAAAATCTACATCAGAAGGTGACTCAGAGGACCCTAATTCTTGTCCCTATCCCCTCCATGACATTAATACCATTTTCATAACTTTCATAACTTTGCTGAGGTTTAACTGTCATAAAGTTCCCCATTTGCAAGAGTATTACTCAATGACTTTTAGTATATTCGTACGGTGGTATAACTGCTACCAACGTCTAATGCAAAAAGCTTTCATTATTCCATCAAAAGCCACCACACCTAGTATCAGCAACTCCTAATTATTATGCAATATTTTGTCTATCAAGTTATATAGTGGCAGGTGCTAGATTTACTGACACTATTAAATAATTATGGATAATGCTGTTATAAATATCTGTGTGTAAGGTTTTGTAAGGACATCTGTTTTGATTTATCTCGGATATACAGTAAGGAAATAGAATTCCCAGGTCTTGTGGAAGTCTGTATTTAATTTTTGGAATCATTACATATTTTTAAAATCACATTGTGCTTCATTTGACAATTTCTTAACATGTGTGTGATTTCTAATATTTAAAATTTTCCTCTTCTATTAGGAAAATACTCTAGAATATTACACCCCTTGATTTACATTTTAGGGGTTTTTTTGTTGCTGTTGCTTATTTTATAACCTAACATGTATAATGCATCACATGGGGAAAAACCTGCATAGACAAAGTTCTTATTCTTTTTTTATGAGTACACATTACTACATGTGGAATATACCCTTATTCACCCAACAAGCCCTCTTTGTTGGGCATATACTATCCAATTTTTGTTATTAAAATTATGCTGCACTGACCAGTAGTGCCTTACATTTGTGGAGATGTATATTTAGAGTAGAAGCCAAAAAGCGTGCCTGGTAGACTGAAGTGAAAATTAATATGCGCATGTATTAAGTGGTTCTGAATTCCCCTCCTCTAGAAGCATACCAAACTAACACTGAGATTACTCAGAGTGCCTGCTTCCCATAGTCTCATTGACAGAGAATGTAAATTGAAATTTGTCAATGAATGGGAGCTCATCAGAAGTTTGATCTGTATTTCATTACCACGGTGAGATTAAGTATTACATTTCCACACATTTAACTCTTTCTAGCTCTGTGATATATCTATATGTATCTCTTTTGTTCAAAGATCTTGAAGAGCAGGAATGCGGAAGCAAACCAGTTAGATGGGAAGATGGAAGCCGATGCCCCATCACTCGCTACCAGCAGGAACATTATGATGAGTTCTTGGGATCTTGTCACATATTAGATTTTCAGAAAGTCACAGCTAAAAGAATGCCTTGAAAAATAGTTGATTCAGTTCCTTCCAGCTATAGATGAACAAGCTCTACATTAATAACTGAGGACCAAGGAGTGGAAGGACTTTCTTTAGGTCACATAACAAATGAGAGCTAGAGCTAGAAATGGAACTCAAAGTTACTTTCCCTACAGCAGCATCAAATTAATGCACAAATAATTTCTTCGATGATTTTTGTATTTTTCCTAAGATTACATCAAAGTACATTTTGGAGAGAACATGTCCCTTAATACTCTATATTAGCCTGAGCTGCAGACATCAGCAATAAACCAAAATCTATCATTTTCTATCTGTACTTATTATCTATATCAGCATCTTTAATATCCACTTGCTGTAGAAGTGCAAAAACAATCTTAGAAGGTACAAAGTGGATGAGATTTCGGGAGATACCTCACATCACAGGAACACACGAGGTCTAGATACACAGAGTGTTCAATATACATCTCACAGGGGCAGCCAAGAGGGTCCTTAGTCTGAGATCTCACTATCACTAAAGGCCTGCAGATTAGATGTTAAGATTCTTTCTATATAAGGTTCAATATAGCACGATGAATTTTGGGAGTGTATAGAAAGGCATATTTGCTAAATATATGCTTAGGATATATTGTAATTTTATGCTGTTTTACACACTGTTGCTTATAATACCAGAAGAGGCCTAAAGAGGGGCACAGCAATCAAACGAGCTAGCAACAGAGCCGAAATAAGCACTCTCAGTTTGATAACTTCTCAACTGCATGCCGTCTGTCTTTGTTTTGATTCAAGCGCATCAATCTTCATTCATAAAACTGAATCCTTTTCATGATGCAGCATCACAGAGCATGTGTAACCCTTCTAAGTAAGTCTCCTGCCATCTCCACACCAGACCAGGAGCTTGACCACATCCTAGTATCTCTTATTTTCTTTATTTCTCTTTTGCCCAAACTCCCCTCCTCCCTCTCTTCATCCCTCTTCCCTTTCTTCATCCCTCCTCCAATCCATCCCTCCCTTCCTTCCCCCCTTCTCATTCCTTACTTCCTTTCTTTTATTCTTTCTTTCCATTGGCAGGGTATCATTACATAACTGGCTAGTCTGGTCTCTAGCTGACAGTCTTTCTACACTATCCTCCCAAATGCTAGGATTACAGACAGACACACACACACACACACACACACACACACACACACACACACACAATGCACTTCTTAAGAGCTCACTCTATGTCACAGGCTTTCTCCTATGTTCATCTAAACCTATGACACTCCTACTTCATGGTCATCAGTATTCTCACCATAGAGATGAACATAGAGAGGCTCAGAGAGGATCACTTAAGATTAGACAGCTAAGTGGTACAATTAGGCTCATCTGACAGTAAAGTACATGTCTGGTCCTAATGCACAGCACACTCCCTTACTGCTATCTTTCAGCTGCAACAGACTCGGGGTCTCTGGACTCTAGGATATGTACATGGGTGAATGCAAAACTGACCTTCCTCAGAGAATATTCAGATGGCAGAAGAAAAAGGTGGGGGATGGGGTTCAATGAGTTAGGAGTCAGTTTTTCTTCAGTCCTCCCATGTGTGCCAGACCAACAACAGAAACTCTTTTGGAAATCCCGGCAGTTACTTACTTTACCAGGTGTCTGATTAGAAGTTCCAGCATCTCCCGGTTCTTTTCTGGTAGCTTATAAACTAGGGAGTGAATAGCCCCCAGACGGTAATCCAGGTTGTCAGATTCTGGCAGAGAGAACAAAGAGAGATGGTTTGGCTTCTAGGTGACTGGATTAAGTAAACTCTAATATGTGCGCACATATGCACATGCATGAACACATGCACATGCATGTATGCACGCGCGCACGCACATACACACAAGCACAGAGAGAGGAAGAAAGGAAGAGGGAAGGAGAGAGAAGAAAAGGGAGGAAGACAATAAAAAAGATGAAGAGAGGAAAGAGCTAAACAGGCACAGACACACTGAATAAATGAGAAAAAATAGAAACAAAGTCAGCAATGGCAAAGGGAGATTAGAAAGCAAAAGAAACAAAATATAGGTCTAGAAAGATGAAGAAATTAGAAAGTGGGGAATGGAAGCTTGTGGACTCAGGTTCAGAGGCAGGCAGAATCCCAGGCACAGTAGGCTGTCTCTAAAGTCCCAAGCAAAGCCTCCAGTTGGAGACCTTTTCCCCACCAACTACGTGTGAAGCACTATGGTTGTTGCCTTCCCAAGTCAATCACTGAAAGAGCCCGGAAGTACATAGCACATACCTCCACTTAGTCAATTACTTGAAACCGTGCAACTAACATTGGCTATCAAAATCATTTACCTCAAAAAGTTAGCATTCAAAACTACTCTCATTTGGCAGTGGGCAACATCAGCTTACTTTGGGAATTGTCCCCCAAAGCAGTCTTCGAGTTTTTTGCCATAAGCTTACTAGGAAACCAGAACAAGCCAATTGAGCGAGCAGCACACATACTTACTGGCAGCAGAGACGAGCTCTTTGTGAAGCTTATAAGTCATGACAGGTTCGGAAAGATTCCTGAAACGAATGAAGGCGATCACTCTTTTGGAGGAAGAAGTAACCAGAGCGTAGACTCTTGGTTCTATGAGTACTAAGGCCCTACACCTTAGCCTGATTACACCCATCTCACAGAAGTTTACCAGTGGGATCTATGTATGAAAGAATGAAATTGAAATCAATGAAATCTATGCCCTGGCAATACTGAAGCATGCATGGGCAGCCTGGATGTAGCGGTTCTGTTGAACGTGTCCATTGGGTTTCACAGTCTAAGTTGATGAGGATGAGTAATCTGGGCTCTTCCTCATGTTTAAAAGAAGATCTCCCAAAATATAGACTGCAGCTTCCAGCAAGGTCTCCCATTAGCTCCCCAAAGTGAAAGGAAATAAAAACCAGTCCTGCTAAGTTTAAAATAGACCTACTCGAAATATGACAACATGCTTATAAGTTGGTGAATCTGAAGAATTATTTCCAAAGCGCTTTAGTATCTGTTCGATTTGACCCTTCCGCTGGTCCTATGAAGTAGAGCAGGATTGAAACAAAGAGATGAGTTCTGTCTGGGATGGCACTAAAACTTGGGAAACGACTAATCATAGAGGCAGGAACATAGACAAGATCATTTGATGAGCTGTTGTACACATTTCCAGCCAGCTTCCTATATAAAGCAATGTACATAACATGTCTACATCTTAGTCCCGGAATCTCCTGGTTTACTCACTAATCCATCATGACTCAGCCCAACTGCTCCAAATGAAGCTGTTCTGACCAGTACCACCAGTGATTGCCTCAATGCTGCACACAAAGACAACCGTCACTTTTCACCTTTGCATAATTTGGGGGTTGTTAACAAGTCTCCTTGAGACTTACCTCTTGGGTTCTGTTGAATCGCTTGATTTTGGTGTTTCTCCTAACCACTTTGACCTATTATAATACATCTTCTCTGGGAATTTATCATGGTCATTTTACTCTTTTTACAACATTAGAGGGTTGGAAAACTCAAATATCTATAGAGGCTAGGAAATTTTCATACTGCCCATGTCTCGTATTTAATCTGCACTTACATGACATTGCCTTTATTTTCTCACCAGCAGCCACATTTACTTACACAAAGAGGCATGTGGGATCAAGGGAGTCAGATATTTCCATCTTGAGCAGAGATGGAAAATGAATATTTTTATAGGAAATACACTAGTTTTCATACTTTGGCCATTGATTTGATTCTATTTCAGTGGCATCTACTATTGGACAAAAGGGAGTGCCATAAAACATTGTACTGCTGTTTCCCAATAGTCTGGATCTGTCCTGGAGCAGCGGGGCATCTGTTCTTGTGGTTTTAAGCACAAGCACAGCATCATGATTTCCATTTCTGCCACTGAAAGGCACAAGAAGGGCCTGACATCTAATTTCTTACTAGACATTATTTTCCCATGGCAAATCCAAATGGCCCCGTGGTCACGCACATTCACTTCATCATCAATTGATCCCGATTCTGTCTGATTGCCCACACTGGATTTTTCTCCCTCACGATCACAACCAGCAAAAGGATTCCATCCACAAACTCCTTGTGAGCTCTTTTCTTGCCACTTATGCCACTGCTATGAATCTTTATACAAACAAAAAGAAAACGAAATAAACTTTGCGTCTTGACTACAAATATAATGCGACCTTGTGTTGATCACTGCCATCACTTCCCTGCCACGATGGACTGGATACTTTATTAAGCTACGAGTCAAAACAAATCTTCTTTCTTAAAAACGAAATTGAAATAAATCAATAGTGATGACAGCCTAGCACATACGACAGCTTCACTAATGATCACCCCTTGCTACATGTGTCGGCCACTAATAGTTTTAGACTTGGCCCTCCCTTCCATTGATTAGGCTTAAGCTAGGAAGGCTTTCAAGTGAAGAAAGCCCTTGAAACACATCTGTGAAGATAGTGCTTTTAAAGAGGATAGGGACAGCACATCACTTACTCACTCACTACTCTCATTACCTTTGGAAACTATTCATATAAGACTACTCTCTTGTTATTAAACTATCCTCACATCCCAAAGACGGTCATGGCTCCGGAAAACAGGTATTAGGAGGGAAAAAGACACCCCAGGAAAAGTAGCTTTTTAAGTCAGAGATTTAAGTTCAAAAGATATCAGCTATAACCACAAACATACTTTTTTGGGGGAAGCAAGAACTTCAGTTTCCCCATCTGTAAAAAGGAGTATTGCACTTCCTGTGGAAAGCAGGAATAGGGATAAACAAATAATCAATGAAGGTGTTCATAACAGCAGCTAGCACAGTGCCCTATCACAGGATAAGTCCTCCAATAGCATTTCCTTTCTTTGAAAGACAGAATAGATATGTTTCAGAGGAATCTAAAATGGCTGAAAGACACTTAAGGGAAGCTCAACATCCTTAGTCATCAGAGAAATGCAAATCAAAACAACTCAGAGAATCCATCTTACACCTGTAAGAATGGCCAAGATCAAAAACACTGATGACAACTTATGCTGGAGAGGTTGTGGGGTAAAGGGAACACTCCTGCTTTGCTGATGGGAGTGCAAGCTGGTACAGCCCCTTTGGATGTCAGTGTGGCGATTTCTCAGAAAATTAGGAAACAACCTTCCTCAAGACCCAGCAATACCACTTTTGGATATATATGCAAAGGATGCTCAATCATACCACAAGACCATATGCTCAACTATGTTCAAAGCAGCTTTGTTTGTCATAGCCAGAACCCGGAAACAACCTAAATTCCCCTCAACTGAAGAATGGATAAGGAAAATGTGGTACATTTACACAATGGAGTACTACACAGCAGAGAAAAAAAATAATGACATCTTGAAATTTGCAGGAAAATGGATGAAGTTAGAAAACATCATATTGAGTGAGGTAACCCAGACCCAGAAAGACAATTATTACATGTACTCACTCATAAGTGGTTTTTAAGCATAAATCAAAGAAAACCAGCCCACAAATCACAATCCCAGAGAACCTAGACAACAATGAGGACCCTAAGAGAGACATATATGCATCTAAAATACATGGGAAGTAGATAAAGACAAGATCTCCTGAGTAAATTGGGAGCATGGGGACCATGGGAGAGGGTTGAAGGGGAGGGGAGAGACAGAGAGGGGAGCAGAGAAAAATGCACAGCTCAATAAAATCAATAAAAAAGAATATAAAAAGAATAGACATGTTTCTGAAAATAGCATTCATAGCTATATGAAATCAGAACTACATCAAGATGATGCTATAGTGGAAGGTCATTCAACAGCAAAATCATGACCCAGCTGTTTAGAATAATGATATGGTACAGAGTTTAAACATCTATCTTAATGCTAAAAGACCACAAAAATGGAAAAGATAACACTTGAACTTGAAACTATAGTGCATGTTATAGAGCATAAAGAATGGTAGTGAGTAACTGAAGGGAGTGCTATGTGTGGTGGCAGTGCACACCTTTAATCCCAGCAGCACAGAGGCAGAGCCAAGTGCATTTCTGTGAATGGAGGCCAGCCTGATCTACACAGAGAGCTCCTGGCCAGCCTGCAAAGTCAGATCCTGTCTCAAAAAAATAATCAATGGCTAGG